GGGGGGTTGGAACTGGATGGTCTTTAAAGTCCCTTCCAACTCAAACCAGTCTGTGATTCTTTGAGGTGTACCACATATTAGCAATTTTTTAAAAAATTAGTTATGTAGATTGATGACCAGTAATTGGTACCTTTTGAAATTAAATGGCTTTGTTAAGACAGCATAAATCAGTAAAAATATTTCTGCTACCATTTTATAAATAGCAGTCTGAGTTAAAACTAATCAGAAGATTTTGTTTTGCTTGTTAATTTGTCATTCTCATGTGCAAGTGTAAATTCTTACACTTAATTCACTGCACTGTGACAAAATGTTTAAACATGAAAATCTTACTTCATTCAAGTAAGACTGTGTAGGCCCAACTATTGAGTGCACCAAACCTCAACCGCAACTACATACATACTAAAGCCACAGAATTAGCCCACTATGTAGTTTAAAAACTCAACGCCCCAAAATCACATTTTCTTGTACTGAACTGTAGCTTTTTCACAGCAAAAAGTAAGTTACTTGCACAGCACCTGTTAGTTCTTGGACTCAGTTGCATGCTTCTGGAGGGGAGCCAAGACCACCCCAGCATTCCTGTCTTCACTCTCTGGACTATACAGATCATGTTTTTCTATGTACCCTTGAACTACATCAGGTACCAGGTAACGAATGCTCTGGCCCCTTCGCAGCGCTCTCCTAATCTTGGTGGAGGAAATGTCATTGGTGATCCATTCTTCCACCAGGTGAATGTTATTCCTGTGTCTCCACAAAATATCAGATTCATAGATGAATTTCTGAACGTTGGTTCCAGCCCTACTGATGCATACAAGGCCATGATTTTCCACAATTTCAGTGATGTCCTCCAACTTCCACAGATTGGGGATTCCAAAAGATTCCAGCATGTCAGTTCCACAAAGCAGTTTAACCTGTGGGACACCTTAGAAAGAAAAATAAGTGAGAAACAGGGCTTGGTTTTGGCCACCAGATGCTTGCTAACTTGACAGGGACATTTAATTCCTAGGCTACCTCTCTGTAACTTTGGCTGAGACCACAGAATGAAATAAAAAAGATTCAGAGGATATAATTTATAACTAGTAGTCTCAATACAGTATTTTTCTGAAAAAAAAAAAGGTTATGGGAGTCCCTATGTTCAAAAGGACTGGAAAATAAACTCCAAAATTGTCATTTAGCCTTGGGGTGAATCAATCCCTGTGTACATCAAAGCAAAAGAAAATACAGAGAAGATTCCAAAACAGCTAAGTACGAAAGGATACTGTAATGCTGTGAAAACTTTATCTGACATTGCACAGAGTTACAGAAGGGGAGCTAGCTTTTACAGGACAGGGGGCAGAGGGGATTGTGGAAAAGGACAGAAAATACGACCCCCCCCAAAAAAGTCCAAATGCAAATCATCAACAGTGACACCTGACTGCAGGGGACTCTCTTCCATACTATATTTTACAGGGAATCTAGAGAAGCATGTAGATGGAAACCACCTTAAAGCAATAGAAGCAAAACTGAGAGTGCTACAGATTTGCAGCTTCCAGTAATGTCATTGGGTAGTAGGAATGTAGTAAAACATCTGTCAACACAATAAGAAAAAAGCCTGCCTGATGCTGCTGGTCTCCTCTTTGAATACATTTACTTTAAACACTATCAGTTAAACAGCAGAATTTGGAAAGGTTCAAGGGAAAAAGTCAGGCAAAAGTCAAGATTTGCTAACATACAGGATTAAGATGGTCATTATGCAAGGCCATTCAAGTTCTATATGAATACATATAATTCTACATGTTAAGCTAAAAAACTAAAATTAAGATCTAGAAGCAATAAGCAAAATAAACACTACCTAAAATTACAAAGCCAAGCTATGTCTGTTGTCTACAGACAAATGTCTACAACATTTTAAATTACAACTGAAAATGATCCTATACCCAGATACATTTTGAATTTCAGGAATTAATCCTTTCCTTTCTTTCTTCAGCAACTTATAATATGATTCAAAATTGTTAGCTGTAACTACACTATAGCAAAGTTCTATAAGTAAAATGGATAGCTCAGACCTGTTTCAGTCAAATTTCTATTATCTTGAATATTTTTCATGTCCTATATATTTTATCCTTACAGACATCTTGTTACGAAGCCTACTGCTTTACTCTCAGGGAATAAACTTAAGTCAATGAAATCAGAACCAAGACCTAGCATCAAAAAAAGCTACTCATCAGTGCAACTCCCTTGAATAGCAAGTATTTTTAAGTACTTAATTTGCAAACAGACTTAACTTTTTATATCTGGACTCTGATTTTTCTTCTTAACGGGTTCATGCCTGTTTGGTTCTTGTTTCCTCTTCCGTCCTGGCTTTGTTAAAGGTATAGCATTCTGCAGACTAACAGTGGGATCAGGAGATAAAAGTTTTTGATGATGGTACCTACAAAACAGATGTATTTTAGATATTTTAAAGGTGTAGGAGAATATAGGGAAGAGTATGGCCTACAAAATAGTATTTCACCACTTCTTCCTGCAGTACTTGCACAGACAGTCCATCTGCTGGAAGAGGGACTTGTGAGAGCTGGATCCTAAGATGGTCAAAGTGCAAAGATTTCAAAGCAACAACAAGGCTGGTTCGTTTCTTCATTTAATAAAAATTAATTTTAAAAAGAAGAACCTCAGCCGTGACTGAAATGAGTGAAAAGCCTAAAACTTAAAAAAAGATATTACTTCAGACAATTCTCATACCAGCCTTTAAATACACAAACAGGCAGCGTAGCAGAAGCATAATCAAGTTAGGGAAGCTTGTGTAGCATATGTCTACCCTATTCTAGCCTCTTGTGCTTCTTTAGGAATACTTTTTCAGCACAAAAATGGAATAAAGCCTAAGAAACAATATATCTTAAAACACAGGCTTTTTTTTTTTTACGTTTAGGGCTAATGGTGCCGTCTTTCCTTTACAGTGCTCATAAATAGTACTTCTGACTTCACTGAGTGCATACAATTTGGGATTAGCCTGCTGTTATTCTAACTCGTTAGAGCTAACACCATTCCTTATCCTTCTATAGGTTCTTGAGGCTTTTTAGGGTTTGGCTGAAGAATACCTTAAAACTTTTAGTGTTTCCAACCACTCACTCTGGCTGCTTTCCCAATCATCAACTTCCACCCAATCCAAGTTTTTTGTAGCTAGTTTTGCCATAGCTACACGGTGATTCGCACTGATCAGACCTTTCTTCTTATATGCATCACCTACTGGTGAAATTATTCCTTTGATTACTTTGTATTTTCCTGTGGAAAAAAACACATCACACAAGAACACGAAAAATGGTTGAGCAGATGTTACTTCCGCTGTATTGTGTTTAAACTATTACATAACTACCATTCACTGCGATTTGTAAGAGCACCACTGCCAGCTCTGATAGCCAGCCCAGTGGAAAAGTACAGTACACTTCTGCCCTGGCACAAGGCAGCACAAGTAAACATGTAGTAGGATGTATTTCTATAAAGAAAAACTGTAAAACTCATGCTTTGGCTATTAGTAATAACGCCTCTGTAAGATTCTTCTCTCATGTATTTGGCCTACATGACTTTGTAAGATGCATGCACTCCTTCTAGCTTCAATATCTAATCAGTATTTCTAAAAATACCCGTCACTGTCCAACAGGCATTCATATACACAAAACAGTCACCTCAACATTTCAGTGCCCAGTTGTCAGAGCTGTTTGCAGTGATTTTGATTACCACCCTACCTGTTTCACGGAAGTAGTCTTTAGCCAGCTCAAATAGCCTCAGATGCATGTTGGTAATGGGATTGAAGGACCCACAGGCCAGCAGTACTACTTCTATCTTCTTGTCAGGATCTTCCATAGCCATTCCTCACAGCTACAGAGCCACGTGGAGAATGCTGGTGGTAGTTACCAGCCTCTACAAGAAAAGAGAAGATTGAAAAATAGTTATTCCTACCTAATGGTGCTGCCAATAAGCAGCAGATTTCAAGACCAAATTGAACACGTTTTTTTTCCATCAACTTTTGGCCTGTGATAGTTCATGTGATACTGCATTATCCAATTTTTAAGAGATTAAAACCACCACCTGTAGTTCTTCTGGTCATCCCTCGACAGAGGTACAGGTAGATACAGGTTTTCCAAAATACGTATAAAACTAACATTATATTGGTTTAAATTCTGGAGGAGAGTAGTGTTAGCATTTCTTCACTGGGGATTTATTTACACTTTGCATAACTCGTGGTATGCGGGAAGTGAGTGCTATGGACTAAACATGAAAACAATCTACTTTGTGCTGCAGAAAATAAGTGATAGGTATACCAGCAAAATAGATGGTAGAAGAATACTGAATTAAAATGTTTAGTGAAAGCTGCAATTAAATGCCAATACTTTTCCCCCGCTTTTTTTAAAAATACAACAGCACTGTTCCAATTCTGAACTTCAGTTTCAGAAAGATGCTTAAGAGTTGGTGAAAAAAAGGAAATTTCACTACTTTTCTTTTTCAACACTACATGGAATTTTGCTGCTCAGTGTTCTTTTCTTTCATAAGAATATTCTGGCTGGCCAAGATGGTTTCCCCTAGCCCTGAACAAATGAAAACTGGACTATATTATGGGTCATTCTGTTGCTGTTGGTGAGATGAGACATCCGTGTTGAGCACTGAATAGTCTGCCATTGTTTCTACAGCAACATCACTGCCTGGAAAAAACCCACAAGGTCACCACATTCTGTCTCCTTTACAAAGAAGCTGAGTGATGTTCACAGCCACCGGTATCAGCACAGCTAAATCTTGTAACAGCTACAATGTACTAACAGCAAATAGCCCGAGAATAAAAGCAAGTCTGGCAAGGCTTCACATTTTGCTGGTGTTAGTACTTTTCTGTGCTTTCAAGAGTTTCACAGACTTTTAAAATATTCTTTATTACTGCAGAGTAGCTCAGCATTTGAAGGGTTTGGTATTACTTGGAATGCAGTTTTCACAGGGGCATCAGCTAGAAGAGTTACTATGGGAACAGGCAAGGAAATGAGTTAGACTTGCCTTTGTAATGTATAAAGCCCTCCTTTCTAAAGAAAGTGACTCATGCTGCACACTCTAAACCGACTGGTTTTCTCCTTAAAAAAAAGTGCAAAAATAATAGAAAATTTTAAGATGAAAATATATAGGGCTTTTTCTGGAGTTAGGCACATATCCCTTTTTCATGCTGCTAGCTGATTTTAGTCTTCAGAAACGATTTGCATCATAAATTCAGCTTGAACCGCTGCCTATCGGCATAAAAATGGAGAATATAAATAAAATAGTTTGCACATACTCTCAGTCTCCTGATTTGCGCTGACATCCTCTGTCTAGCACTGTTTTCACAGAAAACAGCTGCATGGTTGATGTGGGGATCCGGGAGATGACAAAGAGATATCATCACCTGACTACCTTCCCTGTTGTGTCATCCTTAGCACCAGCACTCAGAGCTGGGATCATAGAATCACAGAATGGTTTGGGTTGGAAGGGACCTTAAAGACCATCTAGTTCCAACCCCCCTGCCATGGGCAGGGACACCTTCCACTAGACCAGGTTGCTCCAAGCCCCATCCAGCCTGGCCTTGGACACTTCCAGGGATGGGGCATCCACAGCTTCTCTGGGCAACCTGTCCCAGTGCCTCCCCACCCTCTCTGGGAAGAATTTCTTCCTGATATCTAACCTAACCCTCCCCACTTTCAATTTAAACCCATTACCCCTTGTCCTGTCACTACAGGTCCTTGTCAAAAGTCCCCCCCAGCTTCCTTGTAGCCCCTTCAGGCACTGGAAGGGGCTATAAGGTCTCCCTGGACCCTTCCCTTCTCCAGGCTGAACAAGCCCAACTCTCCCAGCCTGTCCCCACAAGAGAGGTGTTCCAGCCCTCTCCTATGATCTGCTTTGTATGAAATGGCCTTCACGATGCTCTAACTTTTTTGGTGAAAGCCATGCAATTTGCATATCCCAGGAGAGAACAAGTCTAGGTTCCAGCAATGATTAAAGCCCAGACACTGCCTGAGCTCTATATGGAATTACGGCTATTCTTACTGTATAATACCATATGGAGTTTTGATGAATTACGTATCATTTGGCACTGCGTGACACAATACTAATGATCGCAGTTTTTCCACAAGATCCAAACTAGCAGCCCAGCTCCTGCTACAGAGATGAGCGAGATCTGTACGCAGGCAAGCGTTGAGTTTCACAAAATTAAGAAAGGTCTTAATTTATGTCATTTTATGCCAAATACAAACCGAAACATCGCTCTACACAGACTTAAGAAGGGGTAACACAGTAAAACGGCCTTCACTCAGATCTCCTAAGTGTAGGCCATGCTTCATGTAGGACATCCCACCTTCAGAAGGGAAAACGAGGTCCCCCGTGATACAGCCCTTTGTGCTTTTGCTTACCCGGCGTTTCATCATGCTTTTACACCATCTTACCGATATTCCGTGTGTCCCACTCGCAGCCCTGCGGGAGCTTGGCTGGGTCGGACACGTAAGCGCACTGCAAGGCACCCCTGCACGGGGTTTGGGATGGCTCTAGCACCAGCCTGCTGGTTTCCACGGATAAGCCGGTCATGGTGGGGGTACCAAGCTCATCGGGATTTCGGAGGTAAACGTTTCTCAGACACGGCAGAGCGCAGGCACCATGAAGCGCTGTCGGCGGCGCGCAGGCTGCTGCTGGCAGCTCTCGCGTGCCAAGCGCTACGGTTTCGGCCAGCAGCCTCCTCCCACGGCCCCACGCCGCCAGAGACCCGCGCGAAGTGCGGCCCCCGACCCTGCGCGGGAT